ACAAAATCAATTATTCAAAGGATTTGTCTCAATTCTTAAATATATATATTGATAATTATTTACAAAGTTGTTTGGAAAACTAGATGGGAAAAGGCTATAAAATTATTTAAGCCCTATATTTCAATTTTAAACAGTAGAAATACAAAATATTAAATGCTGAAACTGAGAAATGTTTTTCTTTAAAAGGCAAGGATATAATCATTAATTTAATGATGACAACAACAGAAAATATTAGAGAAGTGGAGTCTCTTAAAACCAAAGATGTGGAAGGATTACCACTTTTTGGGAGACTGTAAGAATTCACAAAGTCAACATTCAGATTTTTGTGATTTTATCATTATCAGTAAATATTATCATTAAAGTATTGTTATCCCAGAGAAGACTCTATACAAGCTGAAAACTAATACAGAATGGCTGCATGGCCCTCAGGCACCATTGTATTTGAAACAGACTATAGTGGAAATTATTGCATAGGCTCAGGACCTGTTTTAAAAACCACTGTCAGTGAATACAGTTTATTTCTGCATCCACAAATGTAAGCCAAAACTCTATCATACAAAGACGAAACTAAACTGGTACAAACAAGATCCAGAAACATTGCTGCATTCTCTGGGCCCAAACTTATTTTGCATGGACTGAGGCAGAGTGGAAACTGTCCTGTGGTCTTATGAATCAAAATTCTTTTCTAGACACCTCATCCTCCAGACTAACATGGAGAGAAGAACCATCTGGCTTGTTATTAGCACACAATTTAAAAAGCCAGACTCTGTAATGGTATGAGGGTGCATTAATGCTCATGGCATAGGTAACCTGCACATCTACGAAGGCGCCATTAATGCTGAGGATTATAAACAGGTTCTGGAGCAATATATCACTGAGAGAAGATCTGGTTTATTTTAACAAGACAATGCTGATTCTAAATATATTACAGCAGCATGGCCCAGTAGGAAAAGGTCCAAATGCTAAACTGGTCTGCCTAAACTGGTCCAGAATTGTACCCCATTGAAAATGATTTGTGCATTATGAAAACAGATGACAAAGGAGGAGATGATAAACTGTTGAGCGACTGAAATGTTGCATCAGGCTGTTTGCAATTTAAAAAAAATCACAAACATTTTAACAGCTCTTACAGTGTTATTTAAAGAAGAAATGGGAGAAAACAGTGCAAAACATGCAGATGTCAAATTCAACATTAACATTTTTAAACTTTTTTATATTGTCTTTATACTACATTTAATTGTGTAAAGGCTTGAAATTGTTTACAAATTATTGCACCGGTTTATTGTTATTTAATAAATTTTGTTATATTGTAGCAAAGTCAAAGAAATACACGTATAATAATTCTGTAATGACTATAATAAATCTACCTATAAGTGTTACAAAAAGAAGGAATTTGAAAGACATAAAAATGAATAAATTATTCCCAGAGTGAGTACCTCTGTGTACACTGGCTAACTCCATCAACATCGAACAATTTTTGTGTTTTGTAAAAGAAGGATGTGGGAAATTTTAATGGACTCAGCAAAAAAGAAGCTGCACTGAGGCACTTTGACATTTTAAAACACACACACTTTTGGTGAATTAAAGAGATTCTGTAGATAGGTCTGAAAGCTTATCCTGTGCACCTCAGCAAATTCTAAAGCTCTTTTTCTTATGTGATCATTTTAGGTAATTTAATAAATTCCCAGAGCTCTGGGTGGAATTAGAAGAAGCTAGACTTTGGTCAGAGGAGAGCTTTTAAGAAAGCTGGGATCGTACATCAGAGGCCCAGCAGTCGATGGTAATGTAATGAACGTTTACATTTACCTGCTTCTCACCTTTCTTGTTGGTATATACCCACAATCTAAACTGCACTTGTCAAAGCGTCAGTCCAGTTTGTTTTCATAAATATGCTGTATCTCTTTTTTTTCCATCTCTCTCCTCCATGCTCCTGCTCGAAAAATTAGATATTTGGTGTTTTAGTGAAGGGCTTGAGGTGTGGTTAGCGTACGCATGTGTGTGTGTGTGTGCAAGCACGTTGGGGTTGGGGTTGCAGAGAGCTGCTCACGATGC